GCTACAAGCTGCGTCGTAAAAGAATTACCTATTCGAGAATAATATATTATCTTGCCGGATAATGTATTAACACCTATATGAAAGATAATTTATTATATTAAAAATAGCGTATTATTGTATAGACGGCGATGAAACGTTGCACCGCGTCGATCAGCAATAAAAGAAACAAAGAAAATGAAAAAAACGTAACAAAATGGAGAAAAAGAGAAAAAAAAACCCGAAAAAAAAGAACAGGTGAAGATGAAAATAAAATCATCGAATCGAGCGTCGCGCGTATTCTCGTTTTCTAAACGCGAGACACGTTAAAAAGTAAGCAAGTAGTTAATACCGAAGGATAAAAAGGGAATCGCGTGAAACAAGATGGACGAGAAATAGAGTAGAGAGAGAGAGAAAGAGAGAGAGAGAGAGAGAGAGAGAGAGAGTGAGAGAGAGTAGGGAAAAAATGAGAGATGAAAATGTAGAGAGAAAATGAAAAACCGAGTATTACAGTGACAGGTGAAAGTGCAATGTTTTATTGTTATTACGTAATGATAAACTCCACTCGCGCGATGCACGGAACGCGCCACACGAACAGTCACCTTCGAGAAAAAAAGTCTTCATACTATTTGCATATTGCTTTATTGTTATACAAACATTGTAAACGGTACATTACGATTAAAAGTAAACGGGAATATTAACCCGGTGTTATCCATCGATTCTACTGGCGGTTTTAAGGCGCGCCTTTGTCAAATCATTCTGTGTATTCTTCGCCTGTTTTCGCCCAAGCTATAGATATTATACTATATGCGAGGCTTAACGAGGTTCGATCCTTTTTATTCTTCGTCAGTTTTTCCGTTTCGTGCTTTGCGAATTAAAGAAGCTTCGAAGTAAAGGGAGACTAAAATAGCTGATTCTTATATTTTTTCAACGTTTTGTTGTTTCACAAATTAATTGGCGCTTTGAGGAGAATATTGCTTTTAAATGGCCGATAGTCGTAATACACGGAAAAACGAATCAAACGAATAAAATTCGTATTAAAAAAAAAAAAGAAAAAAGAAAAATGAAGTCGATAAAAGCGACGAGAGAAATTGGAAAATGGCAAAGAAAGGACGATCCTCGTTTCTGTTAGTCTCGAGTATCCCCGTAACGACTGCACTGGTTATGCCCACGCATTGAATTTTACCGCTTCCCCGTGAGGATCTGTCTTAAAACCGCCGGGCGCGCGATTCTAGCTGTTTACGCAAGATACGTTCACGTATTTACGAAGTGGCGGAAAACATTTTAATTCTATAGGAGAAGAACGTTTTACTTTTCCTTCTTTTTCTACATACTTTGTATATTCCCAGATAACCATCCAATTTAGAAAGACGGTATAATAATTATTGACTGGTAAAAAGAAGAAAAGAGAAAAAAAAAAGAAAAAGAAAAAAGAGTTATTACAACTAAAAACGTTCATTTTACTGTTAATCAACCAGATTTTATTGAGCCGAGCGCGTTAACGTCGACAACGACGAGTAAAAGCTTTGTCGTCGTTAGCGTAACGATCTTCGTAACGATGCGACACGATTTATTTTCCCTCGATTTTTATACCGAAACCACAGAGCGAGATAGCACCGTAAAAATGATCTCTCCTCGGCACGAGAAAAAAAAACCGCTCGTCAATTTCGAATGCCTTTCCGGGTTTTAGGATTTACTTCGACAGTTTTGAAATTGCAGGAATTTTCCTTGAATCTCTGTTTCCTCTTTTTCTCTCATGTGATCCATGAACTCGTATTCCTTTCCCCTTTGTCGTCCGTTCCTTTTCTTTCCTCTCCTTCTTCTTCTTCTTCTCATTATTCTTTTTATACCGTAGGAATTTGTTTGTCGAGCGACGTCGAAGACTGTAATCCCCGGATAAATCGAGTCGCATCGTTTCATCGATATTATTATCGCTGTAAAGATAACGTATAGTAAAACCTCGCAAATCTGTCGACGTTGGTGAAGCAATCGACCGGCTTCTTAGAAACTAGAGAGGCAAGGGATTGCGCCAATAGAGAAGTACAAATTATTAATGGAAGAGAGAGAGAGAGAAAGAGCGAGCGAGAGAGAGAGAGTGAGAGAGAAAGAGCGAGCGAGAGAGAGAGTGAGAGAGAAAAAAGAACCGTAAAAATGCGAATAAAATCAATCATTCGAGAATGAGATAATGTGACCAATAACGAATGAGGTGTAACGTCTGATGTTTAGTTTCATCGCTTTTTATTCATTACCTTTGATTATATTATTGCTTGTAATAATTCATTCGGGATACCTTGAATACAAAAAGTAATAAACAATGTTAGCCCGTCTTTTGTCTTTCTTGTCCGCCCCGGTCATTTCCTTAATTTGTCCCTTCACTTCGCGAACAGAAGTATGCTAGGTTTAATAGAATGTGTTAAATGTGACATGTGCAGAACATAGTGTAGCTTTTAACCATTTTGGGGTTATGAAAGTCTATTAAAAAATGCCTTAAACCCTCAAGCAATGAAAACAGATTTTAACGTTACTGTAGTACTATACATGTATTATTAAGTAAAGAAGATATGAGCCGATAGGCAAAATTTCTAAAATTTATTATTGTTTAATTGTAACTATTGGTAGCTAAAATTACAGTACACACTAACATTGTATACTTACCCATACTTATATAGTAACTATAATTAAAATTTGCCACACTAATACTATACAAGTATTAAAAAGTAATACTTACACATACAAATATGAAAATGAAAGAAAATATTACGAATCACTCATTTGCAACTTAATAGTTTTAAGTAATTAATCGTTCTATTATTCTTAACAATGTATTTTTTCGATATTTCTCATTCATTACCAAACATTTGCAAACTATTTCTATTGATTTCTATAATTTTCATGAAAACCAAAGGAATTTATGAAATAGATGAAAATAGTGAAATTACTTTCTTGATATTGGTATCCTTCTAGATCCTTGATATTCTACTAGAAAAGTACAAGGTATAAAAAGATAAAAGTTCTTTTTACAAGGAAATACTACAAAACTATAAAAATAACTATTATAAATGATCATGCGTAATAAGGAAATAATGTAAAATATAATAGGAACAAATTATGTTCCTTATTACACAGGTTTAATACTTCATTGTTAGAAGCTGTAATGAAGAGCTCTATATTTTCATAATATAACATTCGAAGCTTATAACATATGTATGTTACAGGACAGAATAGCGTATCAACTTTTTGTTGTATTTGATAGAAATTATTCGCAATATTTTACAAAACAAAGATTAGAAATAATTTAAAGTACAACAATAAAGTGACTCCAGTTTTTATAACTGTTATTTCTGTCGTATCTTTCATTTGCTACATATGAGATCTACATTATATTATATGGATCTTTTTTTTTGTTTTATCCAAGTATGAAGTTTATTCTTGACAAACAGTCGACTATGTTTACACTTCACAACTCTGTATATCATGCCACAAATCTGGTTTCGTACAATTTTTATTTAACATCAATTTTACTTATGCAAAAGACAGATGTTATCGTATCCGCTATTCGCGTCCAACTTTATTGCTTCAATATAACATAATTTAACGAGAGAGAAATTAAATCAATAGCAGGAATCTTGTTCTCGGCCGTACCACTGTAAAAGACATCTGTACGTCAAATAGGTTAGGCTAAAATCAAATTAACTCGTGCAGAAACTATAGCTCGCGTGCTTGTAGTCACAAGTATAAAGTGCCATATTGCGATGATAAGAAAGATTTTTCCACTCCCTGAGATAAAGCCCTTGAATTGCTGTTTGATATAAGAATATATTGTGAGCGAGGAACATGGCGATTAACCCGCCTGTCAATCTGGCAGGTCACTGACAATAATGTGAGAAACGGGTATTGCTGTACGCCCACACGCCTATCGAATGCCGATAAGAATCGTAGTGGATTTCTGGTTAAGTACCGCATGTGCCGCACGCAGTCACGATGAGTATTTTAAGAAAGAGGTAATCATTTTCGAGCATTAATCGGCTTACAAATTTTCAGTTAAAGAATTTTCGTTTTTTTAGATTAAACGAGTTCGATGATATTTTAGCCGCTGAGGAAATAGATCTCATCAGTCTCAAACGATTATGCTTCCATGGTATATATATTTATGTGTTTCTTAATCCTCTTTGTGTGTAATATTGGATGCTGTATAGTTACTGCCATTCAGTGTACCATGGGACACATAATTTTTAATTTCATACTAGAGATTACTAATTGAGTACTAATTGACAATGATTTTTAGGAATACCAGATGAAGGTGGCTTGAGACCATTATGTTGGAAACTTTTATTGAATTATTTACCTCCAACAAGAGCCAGTTGGTCTGAGACACTTACACGTAAAAGAACTCTTTATAAAACCTTTATTGGTATAGTTCACTTGTTACTTTTTTATAATTTAGAAGAATACAATATAAAGACTAGGCAATAATAAAAATGTTTATTTTTTGCAGAGGATCTCATTGTCACACCAGGCGAAGCAAATAGTGATGGTGAAAGAATGGATGTTACACTTCATGATCACCCTTTAAATTTAAATCCTGATAGCAAATGGCAAACTTACTTTAAGGACAATGAAGTTCTTCTTCAAATAGATAAAGATGTTAGGTAAAATTAGCATCATATTCTGATAATTTCTTATGTTAAAGAACATCATTTTGTAGGAGACTATGTCCAGATATATCATTTTTTCAACAAGGCACAGATTATCCCTGTAAAGAGATTGTAGATGCTTGTGGACAGAAACGTTTACATCATAGAGTACAGCATACAGTTTTAAGAAGTGCAAATGTGGAGAGGAAAGGACTTGGTGTTACCAAGGTAATTACATTTGGCTATAATATAAGTGAGAAACAGTACTAATTTGGCTTGTTATATTGTTATGCTGATGGAAAGCAGCAGGTAACGTCGTTTAATTATTTCAATTTGCTATCTCAAATTCATGTTGTTAAAAAATTCTTTCATATTTATTTATAGATAGCAGTTTCCATTAGGAAAGCTACAGAAGATTATGCACCACTTGCAGAAGGTGGAGAGGCACATTGGGAGGTTCTCGAAAGAATACTTTTTCTTTATGCTAAATTAAATCCAGGTCAAGGCTATGTGCAAGGCATGAATGAAATTGTTGGTCCTATTTATCATGCATTTGCATGTGATCCTGATCAAAAATGGAGGGGTAAAGCGTACATACTTATCTCTAAGAAATATAGTTTTAAAAACTTCGTATTTAAATCTAATATTTCTTACAGAACATGCAGAAGCAGATACTTTTTTCTGCTTCACCAATCTGATGAGCGAAATTCGTGATTTCTTTATAAAATCGTTAGATGAAGCTGAATTTGGTATTAACTCAATGATGGGCAAGCTCACAAATCAAGTTAAGGCTAATGATCCTGAAATTTGGATGCGCCTACATCAACAAGAATTATGCCCACAATATTATAGTTTCAGGTAAACTAGTTAATACAAGTTACTTTCTTGCGGAGTTTACAATATTGTGAATTACGTTACCAGCTAGATATTGTTGTTTCTATAAATCAAAATTTTTCACTAGATGGCTGACACTTCTCCTCTCACAAGAATTCCCGTTACCGGATGTGATGAGAATTTGGGATTCTCTCTTTGCCGATGACAACAGATTCAGCTTCTTGATACACATTTGCTGTGCCATGATTTTGTATGTATTATTTATCAAAATAAAGTTTACTTTTAAATATTGCCGTATTTATGTTTATATGACTGTATTTCAGGCTCTTAAGGGACCAATTACTTGCTGGCGATTTTGCTACAAACGTTAAACTTTTACAAGTTAGTGGATTTTCTTTTGTAAAATAAGTATGAAAAAGGAAAAATACTAAATTCTTAAGTTCTGTGTTATATTTTGCAATATATAATAAATGACACAATTGCACATTTTCTTTTGATAAATTGTTTTACCGAATTGTGGATATTTTTAAAATGCTACTGTACTTAAGTTTTGTTATTTCAATATTAAGAAACTATATATATTTTTTGTTTCAGAATTTTCCTTCAATGGACATACAGATAGTACTTTGTAGGGCAGCTGCGTTGGCAGGCAAAAGTTTTAATTCATCATAACGTGTTACTCTGCACGTGTAGCTCCATGCAGAACTGAGAGAACGTAAACAAACCGTCTGGCATGGAGCGTTTGTACGTCCTCCAAAGGTATATATCCTTGATGCCGTTATTTTCTTGTTTCCTTCTTTTTGTTCTCTCTTTCTACAATGTAAATTATGATTTTACACATAGGCCTGAGCATTCTTCCGCGAACAACTTAACAGAACTAAAAATAGTTCGCTCTAGAAATATATGATACGTATATCAATATAAATATATATATTTGTTTATTTATATTTATATTTATACGTACATACATACATATACACGTCTATGTATATTATAGCATGGCGTTGCGTGTAAGAATGTTGAAAAGTAAAATGATTTTAAGCAACGTTTTATACTCCCGAGAAATAAAAATTCCTCCATTCATATATATATATAGGATATCGGTAGGATCTGAATTTAGCTCTCTATTTCTGCATTAAACGATGAAATAGAGAGAAATTGGTAACCCTTAACAAGAGAATATATGTGTCGTAAATTCAACGAATCCTATTATTTAGTTACTTATTATCGATAAGATAGATAACGATGACCATTTTCTTTTTTTTTTTGGTATTCCATGATCACGTTTTCCAAGGAATTGTGGTTGTACCGTTATTGAGCAAAACCAGATCTTTATCGCATTTCTATGATTCTTTATATACTCTATTTTTTCTTTGTAATGTTGAATGAATTAGATATATACTTTAATGTTAAAAGAACATTACGTTGCAATATTTTAACTAAATAAAAAAATTATTTAGTGGTGAGTGTTGTAAAAGACGTAAAAATTAGTTACATGAAAATATTTCTTGTTAAGGGTTAAAAAAGCATGTATAACTGTGCTGTGAATACATTCAGCCATATTAAAGATTTTAAATCTTGTTATATCCAAAAAAGAGAAAAGAATGTTTGAATATTCGGCGAAAGCATTTATTGGTAAGTTGAGATTCGATAAAGATTACTTAACGAACAAAGTACGAAAAATAATCCAGTGGTTATCGAAAAAAGAGAATACATACATAAGGAAAAAAATGTGTGAAATAATCTGTAACACTGGCTGATTCGATACTACACATTTTGTAACGATTAAACAGTAATAGATTATTATCGTTTATACGCGCAATAATTGCGTAATGTGTTTAAGTGAAATATATTTTGTAATCTTATTTTTGTAATGACATGCGTCGTTCGTCCTGCGTTTATAAAATAAAAAGATCTTATATTTGCATAAATGTTTTCCTTTTCGATATATTACCCTTTTCCGCAAATTTTATTCCACTCAAACCAGCTATCGTTTCACGATCAATATTTTGGTTGATCATTCATCATCAGTTACCAGTTCCATTGGTTTTACTTATGGAAATTAGTTTGCAACAAACCAGATTCTTGTATCGACGTTTCGAAAGTGAAAATTGCGTGAATGATTGATGATGTATAACGCAGCTTCGATATTCCGTGGTTTTATCTTTTCTGAATGCGAAAAAACAGTCGTTTTTCTACGATAAAGATATTGTATGAGGAATGATTCTTTAGTGACATTAATTGAGTTACAAATTGTTTCTTGTATAGATTTATGGCAAAACTCATAGGCAAGGTAATTTTTTATGGAAAAGTGGTTGAATAGGTATGAATGATTGAAATCTTATTTGATGTGAGATAGAGAGAATACATTAGTCAATATTTAAATTTAATTTTGTACGTCCATAAAAAACATGTCAATTAGTAATCATTACTAATTAATAATAATTCGTAATCTGTACCTTGTTTGTTTCTAAAAGTTTAAATATCTTTAAATATACCGTCACTGTTTTATTATTAATTCTAATAAATCTAATTGTGAAAATATAACTACACCAAATACATAGCATTTAAATTTTTTTACTTATTCAATAAATATTATTATTCAGCCATAGACGATAATACAATAGTTTCACACACAATAACCTAGAAATCTGGTAGTCGGTACAAATTAATCAGATATTCATTCACCGTTCTATCCAAAGAGAAACCGGATGATTATTATGAAAGTAATAAAGCCAACGCGTTCGCGAGTAGAATAAGCCGAATTTAGAAATTTCATTTCGTCTCATCCGCTGGCAAATAGAATGATTGGGCCTACACGCCCATCGAATACAAATCAGAATACGATTCGATCATTTGGGAACTAGATGCACGTCTATCTGTTTACATGCATAATACGATAGACGGAGCACATATAGAATACGAATACTTTCGCGATACATACAGTCATTAGGAATTTCAAGCCTCGTAGAAAAAAATATGAAATAATTTTTATTTATTTTATTGTCTATTGTTTAAAATGCGACATTTACTTAAAGGTGTGAGAAACGGTACAAATTCCAGAATAAAAGAAAGGAAAGTGTAAGCAAATATTAATACAAAATTGTTTCTATCAAAATATTCATTAGGCAGATTTTTTAACGTTTTTCGTCAAGTATATTGGTAACTAAAGGAGATATCAGAATGTTGTTTCGAGGCCTTGACCAAATGATGTATGTACACTCCCGTTCGTAAGTATTAGCACTTTTATTGAACGTAAAGCATACTGAAATCTACTGCATTCTATTGAAATCTACTTACTGAATGTGAAGAAAGTCTCTTTGTCGTTACAAGTTTAATATACAAATTTTTTGATTCACAAAACTCATTACAAAATTATTAAGATCCTAAAAAAAGAAATTATTATATGTTTTACTAATATACAGGGTGGGGAAAAAATTTTGTCCACTTGGGATATTTTTGTTATTTGTAATAATATGAAAAAATATTGTACAGGGAACTTGCATGATACGGAGAGGGACGTAATTTGATGTAAATACATACTTTTCAAGGTCATCTCAATTTTTTTTAAATGGGATGCCATATTTTCTTTCTCTCGTTGTGTGACAACCGCTGTTGCGACGATTTCAGCATTATCATTAAAGGTTATTCAAGGTCACTGAAGATCGTGAAACAATTATTACTACAATACGTCTTTATCATCACCAGGATTTATTCCAGCAAATGCTGTAATTCATTGATTCTTACTTTTACGTAAACAGTTAGTCTTGCCGCGATGTTTACGTTCTAATAATACATGGCGTACCGCCATAGACGTAAACATTGTGGCAATTTATGACATTACGTGAAATGTCTGTAGTCAGTGTTAATTGATCGCTGACTGAAATAACATCGCGATAATCAAGATGAAGTTTCCTTATTGAAGAATAAGTGGATATAATCCTCACTTATAGAGAAACTTATCGAAATGTACTCAAATGTACTGAAAAATGTCGTCTGTTAACACTTTACCGACCGGTAGCCTATTAATCGGCTTTTTGCCGCCAACGGTTACCGACCGGTAACCTATTAATAGCTTTTTTTCCGCTGACGCTTTTCGACCGATAGCCTATCGTCAAAGTTTGATTTAACATTTCTATAGGTATTATAAAAAGCGCATATATTCCCGTGCGATAGCCTAGAGTCTAAACAGAGCCGGTGTCAGCGATGTATCTGTGGCCGAGTGAGCGGTCGGAAGTACGTAGGATGTTCAACCGCTACCGGTCGGTAAAGTGTTAAGAAACACCGACTGCACTGGAAAATATGAGACAACGGATTACTGCAGCATGTGCTGAAATAAGTTCAGAGGCGATAAGACCGTGCACGTGCTTCAACGATACAAAGATTGCAACTTTGCATCGACACTGTTGGATTATTAGGAGGAATGAGTGACTGCGTGTAGTGGTAATAGTAAAAATGATCAACATACTGAGACAGATTAATATAAACATGACTCAGGTTGACTCTGATATGCTTTTTTTTTTCAGCATCTTGTCGAAGAGTTTATAATTGAAATATCATCTTTCAATTTATTACCTAAATCCAATAGACACAAATGGTTAACACTTCGAACATTTTTCCATAATAGAAGAAAATTTATTTTACCACAACATTTGACCTGGAATTACCTCAAATGATAGCTTGCTGAAATTGCCACAACAGCGGCTATCGCACAGCGATAAAAAAAAATATAGCAACCTATTTAAAAAAAAAAATAGCGACGACTTTGAAATCTCCTCTGCGCCTCCTTCACCCACGTGAGAAGTCTTTGCATCAATTATGCTCCTCTTCAAATAACGGAAATATTTCAGGTGGACAAACTTTTTGCCTCACCTTGTATATGACACTAACTGTGTGGCGAGGAAATGTAATTTAAATCGTAATTTAAACGGATGTCTCAATACTTATGAACAGGCACAGTGTGTCTGGCGTGAAAAAATCTAACTAATGCAAAAAAAGAATCATCGATGATCGATGATAAAATAAAAAATTCATACACTCTGCCAGTCGAAGATCTATAGGAACCGATGAAATAAGTTCGAACATTTTTCTAAAACAAAAAACGATACTCGAGACAACAATTTTCCAATTACTTCGAATAATCTTCGTGCACGATTTATGAACAAGCAAATGTCTAGCGCACGAGCTTCAGGTTTGGCAGCTTGAAAGACAGGAAGAAGAATGAGAATGGAGAACGCGTGCGTTTCACTCTGGACCTGTTAGTGAACTCATCAGCAACTCTATCTAACAGGTCTGTGCTTCAGACATAAGAATGCACTATAACAAGATGGACGATCCACGTGAATAGATCGATGGTTAGGTTCTGAACTTGGAGGAACCAACGTCCTTATGACGTAGCTTTCCTGATGTATGTAAGAGGTGTCTTCGCGAACGTTATGATATCCACTTTGTTTCCCTAATTCTATTCTTACCAACTTGTTAATTAATGGGTACATTAATTGGTAGCCAATTATTTCACAGGAAATTAGAATCGCTGTTCTTTTTGCTCTTCCTTTTAGCTGCGGAAGATTTACACTACCTACTGAGTAAACTATTCCTTTTTGAAAAATGACATTAGCGCTGTTCATCAATATAAAAGTATGAACGGAAGCAAGAGTAGAGAATCTTCAGATTCAATTTTTAACGAAAATTAAGCCTTTTATGATTATTAATGTTATTAATAAAATTGTCGATAAATGAAAGATGTTTAATTGTAACGTCAATCTTATCTAAACTTATCTACATGTATAGTTTAAAAACATATTAGCGAGGATGAGGAAAGTGACGAGTAATCTTTTGAGGAAGTTAATCGTGTCTTCTCCGATTTTTGTAAAAGGTTAGAACAGTTTTGGAAATAAATTACTTAACGAAAATACGAAGCCTG